TTCTTTCGCCAAGGCAAAGGTCTATCTCTCAAGCAGTGCAAATATTCCAAGTTCAAAACTAATTGTAAGCAATCCTCTATTCTCAAGCACTGCAACGTCAGCCCAAATGATTATAAGGGGTAATTCTGATACTGCTGGAAGTGGAACGATAACGACATTAGCGAATGACCAAACCATATCGAGCAAGTTTCATGCACCGCATTACAGTGCTAGCGATGTAAAGGAATTAATTAGCACAAGTTTCCATACTGAGGACAATAGTACAACAACTGATGACAAGACTGTGACTACAGCACCTTCGATGTGGGCGCAAGACGCACACGCTTCATCGTCTCTTGCAGACATAAAATCATCTTCTACATCCCCCTCGAATACAACGCGGGCTTGGTGGTCATATTCTTTGCTTGGAGAAGGATCATCGCCTTCAACAGCATGTATTTCAACAGCTTTTACTACAATGTTTTCACCTGTTGTTGGAAACCCATTTACAGAATTATTCAAAACTACGAGATGGCCTTTCCAATCAACATTTTCGACTAGTATACATAGCAAAGAGAAGAGCATTTCCACGCAATTAGCTAACGGATCTACTATTTCTCCGTATTCAACCAAATTTCAGTTGGCAGCTAAGCAGCCAAACGGAGAAGTTACGCTACTTACAGAACAATCTGAGAGCATAAAACCTTGGACAAGCATTTTGGACATAACAACAAGTTGGTCCTTATGTCATATTATCTCTGGTAGCAGATTACTAAGTTCAAGAAATTTGCCCTTTCTTGTTTTGCTCTTTTTCAAGTTGTTTATGCCTCCAACGCAGATCATAAACAACTAATATGTGACGTTATCCAACAAGATAAAGGAAATAATTTTTAAAATTTGGCAAGAGCGCAAACTCAAACTGCAAAATTCTATTGACAAGCCTTTGGTGTCACCACAAATTTTCAGGTCCGCCTCAGGAATGCTTAAGCCCATGTCCTCCTGACTACAATGAGGGACCTCAGTATTGCTATCGTATTTTGCCAACAAAGGAGTCCACAACTTATAGACGGGTCAGCAGATATGCATTAAGTACACAATTATTAGGCAAAAGTAACTATAACAAGTGTAGTGGCATATTTTAAAATAATTCTTTTATCACTAGAACTCTATGGAATCTCCTGAATTAATCTAGTGTCGTTTAGGCCTTGAAAAGCTGCCAAAAATTCGCCAATGGTGATCTAAGTGACGAGGTTGATCTCAGAAATCCAGAAGTTATTGAACTTCTCAAATTTATCAGGTGTGTTGAAAAAAATTAGATATTGACAAAAATACTGTTTTCTTCAAGGAAGAAGTGCAACAAAAATGAGATGGCTAGTAATCAATTTGAATCATTCATGTAGGAGTACTTCAGCTCTTACTTTCTGACGGTAGGAGAGTGTGAT